TATATATATATATATATATATATATATATATATATATATATATATTGAATGCAGTTATATGCCTTCAACTACAGATAAAATGTACTGTTGGTCATTTTGCTATAAATACAGCGTGTCATGGATAAATTGTTGTCTAAATTAGACAAAAATGAAAATAACACAGACGTCTCATTTTAACAGATATATTTACCAAAATTACACAAAAATATCTTGAAATACTAAAGAGTATATTTATTAAATGAAATCACTACTGACTTTAACCAAAGCCTCCAGATGACTTCAGAATCTCCTGCCTCTCTTCTGGACGGCTTATTTGTTTAAATTGTTGAATGCTACCAAAATCCTTTCTTTCCGTTCATTCTTGTGTTTGGGAGTTTTGTCTCTCGCTCAACTGCGCCCCACAGAAAATAATATAGGGTGATACAGTCTGGAGAGTTAAGGTAACCAGATGTAAGAGTGATGTGGCCTGGGTTCTCTTGCTTGTGTGGCATGGTTCAGTGTCCTTTACCCACCGTACGCTGTTGCTAATTTTGCTATAATTAGATATTGATCGTAATCTCTATCTATAAAAGGCAGGATGTGTGTGTGCGTGTGTAACGAATGCACGGCCGCAATTTTCGACAGATTTGCACCCAAATTTACATGCACATGCTCCAAGTTAGCGGAGAGGCCAAGACCGACTTTGCATTTCCCAACTCCCATCGATAGTGGAAATAATCAATTTTGTCATGCTTCTACGGCACTTTTCATGTAGTTTGCGGACATTTTCTACTGGCCACAGTGAGAGCCTATAGCTGGCTGCCACGAATAGGCAGGACAACTCTATCGGCCAACGTGAGAGCCAACAGCTGACTGACACGAATGTTAACTAGCATGTTAGCATGCAAAAAAAATCGGTAGCTGCATTCGCCACAAGTGGGAAAAATTTAAATCTTCATGGCACTTTACTCCAATTGGCTCATTCGCTTGCTTAAACTCAACGTTGATTCTGATTCCGCAGAACTGGGTTGGGTGTGAAAAAATATTTGTTGTTAACATTCTTTTTTTCATTCGGTTTTTCTAGTTACGAGTCCTTTTTTAAAGCTGATCGTTTTGTGTTCGTTTTGTTTAGTTCTTTTTTCGTAACAGATTTAATATTTAGTATAGAGCTTCGAAAAAATTCGCAGTGTGAGATAGGCAAGAAGTAAGGCATGTAGCAACATCAGCACGGCAAAGGGCACTCCTTTAAAGGCAAGGAAGGGCAAAAATATTTTAAGTCAAGTGATAGCGATTGCTGTATGAGTCGTACGATTTTTGAATCAAGCACGGGAAACGCCGGGCCATGCTGCTAGTTTTTTTGTTTTTTTTTTATAAAAATGCATTGCTGGTATTTTTTACTACAAAAATGTATTTTTATACTTTCATAGTGTTTTGTCTTTGTTTGGAGTTCCACTATTTTCCCATAGGTGGGGCCCTAACAAGTGCTACTACCCCGGGACATGGTGAACATGGGAACTACAGAAATTCAAAGGTGCTCCATGTTTCCCAATCTCATGATGTAGTTTATCGTCATACCCAAGAATAGCAATGAAGAGATGGTTTCATGTTCTTCAAAACCTCCAGTCTCCTGATCACAGGCCACGCTGCCGGATGTAGTTTATCGTCATATCCAGGACTAGCAATTAAGAGATGGTTCCACGTTCCTTAAAACCTCCAGTCTCCTGATCACAGGCCACGCTGCCGGATGTAGTTTATCGTCATACCGAGGACTAGAAATTAAAGACGGTTCCACCTTCCTCAAAACCTCCAGTCTCCTGATCACAGGACTTGCTACCGGATGTAGTTTATCGTCATACCCAAGACTAGCAATTAAGAGATGGTTCCACGTTCCTTAAAACCTTCAGTCTCCTGATCGCAAGCCTTGCTACCGGATGTAGTTTATCGTCATACCCAGGACTACAAATTAAAGACGGTTCCACCTTCCTCAAAACCTCCAGTCTCCTGATCACAAGCCTTGCTGCCGGATGTAGTTTATTGCAATAGTTATGCTTGTGTGTGCATTTTGTCTTGTATGCGGGGATTCGTGTCCCCCTGTGCTTTGTACGTTTATCAGTCCTTGTCCTATTGCTATGTGGGTGTTTGAGCCTGTGTAAGCGTGTACATATATGCGTGAGTTTACCTGAAATATGACTCTGTGCGTGTGCCTGTAGTTATGGCGAAAAGTAAGAGAGAGAAAACAATAATTCGGGCGAGTAACTCAATCCTATCTAAAATTCTCTTGCTTGCATTTGCGCATGTGCAAGTGGCAGCCATATTTCGTCCTCATCGGAAGAGTGAGATTGCAGTTTTATTGATGGAATATAATTTTCTCTCTGCCTGCAGGCTACAGGATGGCGTACACAGCTTCGATGAGAGCACAAAGTAATTTAACTACTGTTGTAAATAAAAACTCACGAAAGCAAGATAGGGAATTATCCAGGAGGTTCAGACGGGAAAATTACCTGTGACTAACTCACTCAAGTTTAACTTTCTACCAACTGTATATCTCTGTGGAATGTGTTGATTAGAAAGATACAAGTACAGATCCTTAGTCTAACTGCAAAGAGGTTTCATTCGTTTTTGGGCGAATTTTTTATATGCCGTTTCCCTTCAGGACGTGGGTGATCATGATTCTCACCGTTTGAAGCCCTAAGCATTGTTTATTCTATTACTACTCCTTGTTCTCCCTATTCTCCCGACATTTTCCCAAAATCTTAAGCAGACACACACACACACTTACTTACACACTCTCACACAAACTTTGTATCTCTCTAGCAGACATTCTCTATCTATCATTCTCACAGACATTCTCACACACGTTCTCTATAACATACACACTGTCTTTCACACTCTCTATCTCTCTCAAGCACGCACTCTCTCTATATCCCCACACACTTACTTACACACTCTCCTTTCCTTTCCCTCTCAAACAAACTTTGTATCTCTCTCGCACACATCCGCTATCATTCTCACAGTCATTCTCACATACGCTCTCTATAACATACACACTGTTTCTCACGCACGCACTCTCTCTATCACACACATACACACACATACACACACACTATCTCTCTCATAAATTCTGTATCTCTCTCTCTTTCATACACACATACTCCATATTACTCTCACACTCTCTTTCAAATTCTGTCTCTGTCTCGCCGACAAACTCTGTATCTCTCTCCCATACACATTCTCTGTCCCTCTCACTCGTTTTGTTTTTCTTTCTCTCACACACACACTCTCTCTCTCTCTCTCTCTCACACACACACACACACACACACACACACACGCACACACACTGTCTCATTCATGGAGTATCGATCTCGCTCTCTCAGACACATACTCACACATTCACATACTCGCTCACACACTCGCCATTTCTCTCTCTCACTATCTCACACGCACTCTCTCATTCACACTCAATCTCTCTCCAAAACACTCTCTTACTTATAGACTCTCTCACCCACGAATTCTCACTCTCTCTCTTTCTCTCTCTCTCTCTCTCTTCCTATATATATATATATATATATATATATATATATATATATATATATATATATCACACACACGCACACACTTTCTCTCTCTTTCTGCCTCCCACATGCGCTCTTCCACTCTAACGCGCGCACTTTCTCTTTCTGCCTCACTCATGCTCTTTCTCTTACGCACAATCTCTATCTCTCTTTAATACACACTGTCTCTCTATCTCTCTGTATCTTACACACACGTACACCAAAACACAGATATTCTTCTTTTACATGTATTCATTCAGGACATCGGCGACCATGGCTCTTCACACCATCTTCTCTTTGTAGCACTTAGCAATGTTTATCTTTTTACTATCACTCTCCCTTCCTCTTCTGCCATACATCTTGTTATACAGAATCCTCGGTATGACCATGAATTGCATCTAGCAGCAAGCCATCTGGTCAAGATATTGGATATTTTGAAGAGCGTGGAACTATATCTTAGTAACTGTTGTTTACAGGTCAACCATGACGCAGCGTCGTAACAGCTGTTATGGCCCCCAGCTTTGGTTAAATAGTGAATCCCCTAAACAAACACACTATGAAAGTATAAAAAAGAAACATTTTAATATGGAAAAATACCAGCAATACATTTTTTATATAAAAATGACCAAAAAAACATATGGTTAAAAAAAAAAAAACAGGTATAAATTGTCTCTGTAGTTAAAAGCATACAATTGCGTTCTAAAATATATCTATTTGAAGCCATAAAATTGTGTTCAAAATATGTCCGTCGTAGGAGTCGCAATGCAAAACTTGAGCGTCCTCTCCCAGTTGTCGACGAATGGAAAAAATGCTCGGTCGATAAAAGCAGTTGGTGTTCTCGAATCGGCGATTTGGTGTATTTTGGCTACCGCGTTCGTCAGAGGGTGAGTCATTTTTTCTGACTGGTTACGTGCATTGTGATTTGTGACATAGTACCTGCGAATCGAGTTTTCGGCATTTCTTTCTATTCCTGAACTTACAGTGATTTGTTCTCTGCCTTGTGGAATTAATCTGCGACAAAAATTTCCTTTGCTTTCAGAGCGTTTCCATTATACACATTATTCGTTGTTCTACATGCCATTCTTGACTTCAATTCTGTGAGTGTCAAATTCTCCAATCTGCCTTTCCTTATTAGATGTCCCAGTAACTTCAACGGTCTCTTTCGAATTCTAATTTCCAAAGGTCATTTTTCGATTCCCTTTGCTTAAAACTTCCTCATTGATACCATCTACGGTATTCTCAGCCCCCTTCTGTAGAACCAGACCTCTGTTACCTCAAATCTTCGATTCACCTGTGGTTAAATTGTCCAGCATTCACAGCCATATAGAAGGAAGGATATTGTATGCAATGCTATTTTCTTTGTTTCTAAAGAAATTTTCCTTTTTCTTGATAATTTGCTTAACTTTTGAAAAGCATCTTTCCAATGAGACTTCGCATTTCTATAATTAATGTAAATAATTATAAATCTTATACGACCATATTAAGTTGAAAAAAACAGTTCCCGTGCGACCACCGAAGTTAAGCAACGTCGAGCCTGATCAGTACCTAGATGGGTGACTGGTTAGGAATAGCAGCTGCTGTAAGCTTGGATACGCGGATATTGTAATGGATAACAACTCGGAATTTTTAATCGGAACGCCGAGTTCCAATTTCAGTTGGGTACATTATATTCCTTTAAATATATCATTGGGAAAGATACGAATCCAGCTCTTCTGCCTCCATCTATGGGTTAATGAGTAAGACTTGTGCTACTAAATCATTATTAGTTCCAAAAAAAAAAATCATACAATCTAAAAATATTTTCCAGCTTTAAATAACCTGCAAATGGTTGATAAGCCCTTAAAACAAATGAACCAATAAATTATAATATAAATTTTAATGAATTATAACAATAATAATAATAATAATAATAATCAAAGTTTAAATATTTTAAATTAAAAAATGAATTAAAATAAATACTAAGTAGTTCGGAAAATTTGTGTTTAAATCAGTCGAAAAAAAAACCCTGAACATCTATTGATTTCTGCCATCGAGTTACAAATTTATTTATGCTTTTATGATACAACTCTTGGACTCCAAGACATCTTTGTAAGTAGTTTCTGTGTCTTCCTGCAATGGAATATGCTTTGGCTTCAAACATTGTCAACGTATTTGAAAAATCTGTAGTCAGAGGGCGAAATATCATGGGGAGTATGGTCAGTGTGGAAAAGGCTCGTATAGCAAGTCGGTGAGTTTCTGCAGTGTCATCCTAGCAAACATGTTTCCGAGCATTGTCACGAAATACAATTGTGGCACCATGCATACCTAGCAAGCTGAAGAGAAATATTCATAAATATATGATTTATTTTTTTGCGGTTTGTCAACCATTTGATAATTATTTAGAGCTGAAAAATATTTGGGTTTTGAGAATAATTCTTTAATTGCGTTCAAGCGATCTGGGAGTGTGACGTCGTCCCCCCCTGGTCGCAGCGTCGACTGTGTCGTTCGATCCCGTTCGCGACGCCAGCTGTTCGCTCCTTGCTGCTCCAAGTGTGACGTTCTAACCCTTTGGCTAGATGAATACCAGCCTCGTTGTTCCCAACCCGCTTCCAACGCCTGGTTACCAGGGTAACTACACTGATCTCCGGTCTGTCTACCCACGTTGTGATTAGATCTTAGACAGACGGGATCAAACAGGGATTGGGCCGTATGCAAGCTGAGTCCAACGGGGGTGATAACACACAAGATAAATAAAACTCACAAGGTCAAAAAATATTGAAGAAAAAGGTAAATAACTTTTTATATCTAATTGTTCGTTACACAAGATTATTCCTACCTCCCGACCCGTTCTGTGGACCGTGGCACCAAGCTTCTACCATACAACTTTAAGGCTTCGAGTTGCTTGCTCTCTAGAAATTTGCATTTCGGGGTGTGGTTTGGTTTCAACACTGGGCGCTGATCTCTACCTGTCGTTCACGGCTGATTTCTCTCGCCGTCCGTGGCTGTAACTAACTCTCTCTTCTTCAGAGTCTGAATTATTGTTCACTCATCTCTGCCGTCAGTGCGCGAATTAACTTCTTCTCTTCGGCTTCGGTTGGACGAGCTTATTCACTTCGGCTTGGGTTGGGCGAATTTCTTCACTTCGATTTGGGTTGGACGAATTTCTCTTCTTAGGCCAAACGAACCGGCCTTTCTTGCCCGCAAAGGGGCGAATGAACCGGGCCCCCAGCCCGCGCTCAAACTCTCTGCCTGTCCGCGCTGCAACTCCAACTCTGTCGGTTGGGGTCCTGCTTTTATTGACGCAGTCAAAAACTGGGGTGGGTCTGTCGGTGCCAGGGTTTTCTTGATAATTCTAAAGACGTATTATTTCTGATTAGGGATTTTCCATTTCGGTAACTTACTTTCCTCCGACTTCCTTACTGTGCCTCTGGGGGGCGTATACCCGCTTCCCCTGGTCCTTCGTATGTCAGGTGACCGCTCTCGACCAATGGGGTCCTGGTCGGGCATCTTTCCTCCTCCCTCGCACATCATGTGACCGCTCTCGGCCAATGGGGTCCAGGTTGGGTGTCTCTCCTCCTCCCTCATGTATCATGTGGCCGCCTTCGGCCAATGAGACTCTGGTCGGTATCTTTCCTCCTTCCTTCGTGACGTCTTTAATCGGGCGTGGACAATCCGTGGCTTTGTTCTGGAGGAAGAAACACCTTGCTTAAAGAAACAAAAACTTAAACTGTCCCTTTCGTATGTGACCGAAATGACGCCCTCGGCTTCCTTCACACGCGGTATCTGTCAAACAGCCTACCGCTAATTGGATACGATCTAAGAAAAGAATTTCTTAGACTTGTCGGCGTTTCTCTGAACGCAACAAAATATTTCATTCTCCTCCGGCCGATAATAAAAATCTGTATTATCTCAAAAAGCGACATCACCCTGGGTGGCGTTAACGTGAACTAATAAAAATATTTCACTTTCTCCCTTCGCTCGGAGCTTGACAACAAAATTCTTAATTATCTCAAAAAAAAGCATTTTCTAATCATCATCTTGTGTGACTGTATTTTCAATTCTGGAATTGTCTGGGTTCTCGTATTAATGGATTGTCTGTATATCCTTAGATAAACTTCCCACCCTTGTCATAGGTGTAAGTGTGAGGAGCCGATAAGAAGAAGCGGGTATACGCCCTCAGAGACACAATAAGGAAGTAGGAGTGAAAGTGAATTACCGAAAATGGAAAATCCCTAACCAGAAATAAGAAGGGTGGATACGTATTTAGAATTATCAAGAAAACCCTGGCGCCGACAGACCCACCCCAGTTTTTGACTGTATCAATAAGAGCGGGACCCCAACCGACAGAGATCAGAGAGTTTTGCGTCGCGGACGGCGAGGGAGTTTGAGCGCGGACGGCGGGCCCGGTTCATTCGCCCCCTTGCGAGCAAGAGAAGCCGAAGTGAAGCAGCCCGTTTGGCCTAAGTGGAGAAGTTGGAATCAGAACAAGCTGAAGAGAAGAAGTTAATTCGCGCACTGACGGCAGAGATGAGTGACCAATAATTCAGACTCTGAAGAAGAGAGTTTGCGCCGCGGACGGCGAGAGAGATCAGCCGTGAACGACAAGCAGAGATCAGCGCCCAGTGTTGAAACCGCATCAAGATAGCTAACCAAGATTCACGCACACTTCTAGACTCTTCTTCAACCAAGAACAAGTAGTTTGAAGAGCGACTTAGAATCAGACCACAAGAAATAAGTTTTTTTCGACTTTCGTCCAAAGACACACCGAAACGCAAATTTCTAAGAGAGCAGACAACTGGAAGCCTTAAGGTTGCCTAGTAAAAGCGTTGTGCCACAATCCACAGAACGGGTCGGGAGGTAGACATAGTCCTATGTACCGAGCAAATAGACATAAAAATTTGTTACCTTTTTCTTGGTACGTTGGACCTTGTGAGTTGTTATTTTATTTCTTTTTATTATACATAATTGTGTGTTATCACCCCCGTTAGACTCAACTTGCATTACGGCCCCAAGCCCTGTTTTATCTCGTCTGTCTAAGTTCAAGTCACAGCGTGGGTAGGCAGATCGGAGATCAGTGCAGTTACCCTGGTAACCAGGCGTTGGAAGCAGGTTGGGAACGACGAGGCTGGTATCAATCTAACCAAAGGGTTAGAACGTCACGTTTGGAGCAGTGAGGAGCGAACAGCTGACGCCGCGACAAAAGACGTCGAGTGACCAGGATATCAGAGCCTGGGGAGCACGTGACGTCACAATTGGCGCCGCGAACGGGATCGAACGACACAGTCGACGCTGCGACCGGGGGATGACGTCACACAATTGGATTAAGCAATACAGGTCATATTTTGCGTAACCGAAATGGCATTTCTGCCAGTTGCTGTCAGTAAACTTCAGTAGTGATGGTCTTCTTAGCTTCCTGGAAATTGTAATGAATAACACCATTACCAGACCACCAGACAGTCACCATAACACTCTGTTGGTGACATTTCGGTTTTGGAAAGTGTAAGCTTCCTTCGTCAGGATCAATCCATTCGATCGATCTTTTACGATAGTTATAAAGGATCCTTTTCTGATCACAATCGGTATTCTCTCAAGAAATGAACCGTTCGAATCTCGCAGATGCAGCATTGATCACTCTTCAAAATGTCGAATTCTTTGATTTTCACTGGCTTCATGTCGAAACCATTTATCGAGTTTCTTTACCCTGCCGATTTTCTTAAGAGGCTCCGATATTTGCCAAAATGACAAAATCCCTTATCATTTCTTTCGACTCATTTTTTTTCTGATCTTGATTGTCAATTGCTGAAGGAGGCCTTCTACCATCTTGATCTTCAAGATTCATATCCCCACTACTGAAGTTCCGAAACCAGATCATTGAATATCCCTTCACAACTGGATCCTTCATCCCATGCTCTGTGAATGTTGGCAGCTGTTTGACACGCATTATGGCCAAACTTGGACTCATACAAAAACAGTAAACGCATCTCTTCTTTTCTCATGTTCATGATAAGGGGTATATAAAGTTTTAAATAAATTATGAGGGGTATATAATATTTTAAACATATTATGAAGTATATATAATGTTTTAAATATATCATGAGAGACATATAATGTTATAAATAAATTATGAGAGACATTCAATGTTTCAAACATATTATAAGGTGTATATAATGTCTTAAATGTATTATAAGGGGTATATAAGATTTAAATATATTATGAGGGGGTATATAATGTTTTAAATATATTATAAGGGGTATATAATGTTTTAAATGTATTATGAGTCCTTCCTTGATTTTGGATTCTTGAAGGCAACATACACCAATGTAATGACTATCAAAGTTCAGAGTCAATTACTCCGGCTTCCCATTCCTTACAAGTCTTCTAACATTAAACATCCTGATGGTAAAACCTTTATATGTAATTGGAGACATTTACAAAGTTTTAAATAAAATGTACATAATACCTCATCTCAGAAATATAGACAAATGTTTTTCACGTAACGAATTTACTATAACGTATTTCATACAAAGTATTTCATGTATCATATTTCATGTAACATATTCTACGTAACGTATTTCATATAACGTACATTATATAACATATTTCGT